GGCCCTTCTCTGAGAGCAGGCCTCAACCTGTATTCAAAATGGTGGCCGTCTATAAATTGTCGGCCTGCCAATCTGAAGTGAGTCCGGTCTGACTGTTCTCTTTGAAGACCATCCCCTCCAGTGAGATCCCTCACTCCAGATAGCTCCCAGTGGAAATCAGGAAGGATCCCCTTCCACTGTAGTCTGCACTCGCTAGGCCTATTGAGGCCACGTGGTCCCAAAATGGCGGCTGCGCGTGAGACCGCACGGTCCCAAAATGGCGGCTGCGCGTGGAGACTGACTCCTGCAAACAAGGCCTACCCAAGACTCGTTCTGAGAAAGGAGCCCAGTTCACGAAGGAAGAGAGGCCGAAAAAAACTGAGGTTTTGGATTTATAAAACAGCCGCCGGACAGCTGATCAGCGCTGCTCTCTTACGCGCACACCCCCTCCTCTGCCGAAAACCCAACGATCGATGACCAAAAGGCTGAAAAATGGCCCGAAATGCTCTGCAGGTCTGAATCAGCCCACAAGGCACCAACGGCTCCTGAACGAACTAGGAAGGTCCTGGGGGGTGTCTTCGGCCTGAAACAGTCAGCGGAGTTGCAGCCACAAGCTCCGTTAGAATGTATCGATCTCCTCAGCTGGCTGGGGATAACAGCTGTTAGTCCCGATTAATCCCGTGAGCAGAGTTTTTTTACTTTTTTGGGATGGGGGGAAAGGAGGAAGGAGCCCCTTCCTTAACAAGGGCTTGTATAGCCCCCCAATGGAGGAAATTAAAAGATAACTCCAAGTTCCTGTGAGAAAGGATTGAGAATGGTAATGGTAATCAAATTTGAAAAGGGATTGAATCCAATTAACTCACTACCACCTACACAGCTACTAGGGAAAAGAAAATCCACCAATGGAGACTGTACCTGCCTAAGAGCCAAATCTGCACGTTTGTCCTGGGCAAGATCACGTCAAGACTGGGATCTCTATGGTCCAGGACGGGCATGGCAACTTTGGCTGACTTGATCTGATTGGGCAGGAATACAGTCTAAACCCATTGGTGGATTCTCCATCTCCAGTGCTGGAGGACTCAGCGTTTCTCCCACCATATTTTATTTTTATAAACATTTTCAATTTATTACTCTTCCATTTCTCAAACCAAACATCTCATCTTATTCTTCTATCTCTGAGGAAATAAGCAAGTAAAGCCAAGTCCTGCAACATCAACATGTCAGCATTTAAAGAAAACTTTGAAATCAACTTTCTTCTGCTTGACTTGAAGAATGATAAAGCATCCTGGTTGTATTTGTGGCGCGCTGAGCACGATATGAATAGATTTAGAGAAAGAGGCAAGAAAATAAGCATGGGTGAGGATGGCTGCTGATCAATCATAGAAACACTCCTTAACATAGGCAGATTCAATTATGAACTGAAGCGAATGGGGTGGTGGCACTGCAACTTCACAGGAATGGGACTTAGATTTTAAGCTATATTTCTTTTACATTTTATAAATATATTAGACTTGTTAGATGGTTTAGCAAACATTTTATTTTCTGCTGAAAATTAGAGAGAAGCTGTCCTGCTATTATTAGGCAAATAATAATAAGTCTGCTGCCAAATTTCAGCAATTAAATACTTAGGGTGGAACAAAAAGCTGCAAAAAAAGGAGTGGGGTTTTATACAGCATAGCATTTACAGGTTTCACATTTCTGAACTGCCCATTTCCCTCAAAGAAGGACTTTGGACAGCGTACAACAAAATATCAAAATAGTATATAAAAATTAAAATGTTAAGAATTAAAATTTTATAAAATTAAGGAGGCAAGAATAATTAAACCCTGTTAAAACTTAGTTGACAAAAGCAAAGGGAGGGCTCTCATGGCACTGACCAACCGCACGACTGTGTGCTCTGTTGGGCTCTCTACACAGGACAGCAAAGGCATTTTTAATCCCTTTTTGGAAAGCCAGGAGAGTGGGCTCTGCCTCCAGGGGGAGAATATTCTAGAAGATGGGAGCAATGGCAGTGAAGACTCTCCTCTTATACTCCACAAGTTGCAGTACTTTAACTGACAGGGTCTGTAACATGCCTTCCCTGCCTAACCAGGTGGGATGAGCCTATGTAATAGGATTAGGCAGGTTCTGTAGACAGCCTGCTTTCATGCCATGTAGGGCTTTATAGGTCATAACCAATACCTTGAATTGGGCCCAGAAGCAAACTGCCAGTCATACAGTTTGCAAAGTAGAAGTGTTCTATGTGCCCTTCTTTGGGCAATCAATATAGGTCGGGTGACCACACTTTGCACCAGTTTTGTCAAATTTATATGGCTGCCCATCTCACAAACAAATGATTTTAAGCAGTATATAACAAAGCTTAAAAAAACCTATATTTTCAATACAATTATTAATATTACTGGTGAAACATTAAAAATTATAAAACATAAAAGTAACAGAAAAGAATAAATATAAATGTTTAGGGGAGAGTTACTAATATTGGAGCCACCTCAAAATTTCACCCGGTCTTGAGGGGTTTTCAGAAAGTCAAAAGGGATGAAGCTATCCTTACTCTAGGAGAATGTTCCATAAAGTGGGTGCCACAACAGGAAAAACCTGACGCCTAGGAATCACCAAGTGTAGCTCTATAGTCAATGGAACATGCAGAATGCCATCTATGCTAGATATGATAGGGTGGGGAAATGTAACTGGGGAGAGGCAATCCCACAAATAACCCAGCCCCATGCCATGTAGGGCTTTAAAACCAACATCTTGAATTGGACTTGGAAATAGATTGGCAACTAATGCAATTCAGAGCAGAGGTGTAAAATATGTTCTTCTAGAAACACACATAATTGCCTCTGCTGCTGCATTCTATACCAGCAGAAACTTTTAGATACTCTTCAAGGCAGCACTATGTAGAGTACATTACAGTAGTTTAACAGGGAAATCACTATGGCATGAGTGACTATGAATAGAATCCTCAGTCTAGGAACAAACACAACTGGTGCACAATGCAAAGTTGAGCAAAGGCCCTCCTAGACTAACTCTAGTCATGACTGCTATCTGCTCTGAGTAGGAATTGCGAGCCTACAAGAACCTCCAGATTGCATACGGGATCCATCTGGATCAATGCAACCCCATCCAGCACCAGAAATGTTGCAGGCCTAGAACTGAGGCGCCCCTGGCAAGTCAGAGTTCTTGTCTTGCCAGAGTTCACCCAAAATCTTTGTACCCCAGGCACTGGGATAAGATGAACATAGTATCATTTAATTTGGCTAGGGCAAAGATATATAGTGGGATACCATCAGTGGATGGATGATAACTTATTCCATGGTAATGGATGAGTTCACCCAGTGGCCTCATGTTGATGATGAATAGGGGCTGGCCTCTGGACTGTAAGGACCAAGGATAGGATCTCTCCCCCAATCACCATTGACTGGAATTGACCCTGGAAAAAGGAGGTGAATCAGTACAACACCATGCTGCCCATCCCCAATGCCTTGAGTTGTTCTAGGTGGATATCATGTGAATGGTATTTAAAGCTGCAGAGAGGTCAGTAGGGCAAAAATAGATGCACAACCCTCATCCCACCATGCCAGAGATGATCCAAAAGCATGACCAATGCCATTTCTGTCTCATATCCAGTTCTGAATCCTTACTGAAAAGATCCAGATAATCTGTTTCATCCAAGGTCATCTGAAGCTGTTGCACAACCAGCTTCTCAACTACCTTTTCCAGAAAGGGGAAGTTAGATATTAGACAAAAATTGTCCAGAAAAGTGAGGTCCACTGATGGTGTAATGAAACCCCTTCACTTGAGCAATATACCAGTGCTAAAACCCAATCACACAACACCTGCCCCCGGCAGCCTTAACCATCAGGAGAGGCAAGGATCTAAATAGCAGGTGGCTGATTCACAGTCTTAAGGAACCTGTACACTTTGACAGCCCAAATATGTTTAAACTAATTCCAGATAACCAGGCAAAACAGATCAGACATCTCCCCTAGATCTGCAACAAGGCCAGCATCCAACTATGAGCGAATATGAGTAACTTTGAGAAATGCTGAACAAATTCTTCTGCATACTCCTGCAAGGGGTTCTCTAAACCCCCTTTACCTATGAGGGTAGTGTCACATGAAATAGGGCCACAGGATGGCTATCTATAGACACAATAAATGTGGAGAAGTACTGATGTTTTGTCACTTTTACTATCAAAAGGTAGGTACTGTAGTGGCTCTAACGTGTATCTGGTCAGGTTCATCCCCTGTAGAATGCAAGTAACATTCTACATTTCTCTTCTCTTGTTTCACCTTCCATAACTCCTCTATAAACCACAGGGAATAGGTCTGATCCAAGACCTCAGCCACCATCTTATTTCAAGTGGCAACGAATGCTTCAGATACAACAAACCAGCGGGAACAACTCCCATCCCCCTCTGAAACGCATCAGGGCCCACCAATTACTAGGGGCAGGTTGATCTAATGGTCTGGCTTCCCTGTAGTGGATGGTAGTGCCAGAGAATCCCATGGTAATCCGGGTGGATCTGACCATGACAAAGGGGAGACCAAAAGCTCTCCCAATTTCAGATCTCATAATCACTGTTGCAACAGGAATACCAGAACCTCATTTGGTAAATTTTAAATGACTATGCTATCCAGTGAGGGCAGAAATTGTTTATTACAATTGGAGCATTCAGGAATGTGTTTACGACATTCCAATTATAAAGCACTTTCATTTTATCTTTATTTCTAGATAGATTACATGTTTAATATTAATAAACTAGAACAATTGAGCATTGGCTAGAAGAGTAATCATGAATTACTCTTCAGAATTATACAGCACTCATTTTTTCTCATATTATAAATTTTTAACTTTCTATTACAAATGTTTGGGGTACATTCTCTGTATTGGCTTATATTTATTATTTTTAACTTTTGTTTTTTCTTTCATTCTTTCATGTATATTTATAGCAAAGATATGTTGTTCAATTTTTTAAAAAGCCCATAGAAATAACATTTTGTTTACAAAAACTATCTCACCTCGACCTCTAGAGGAACTTCGACCTCGCGGAGCCCCCACCACTGTTCCTCCTCCTCGTCCCATCAATCGTAGGACAGCAGCACTATTTACAGATAGTGAAAAATTTCTCTGCCAAAAGTAAGAAATAAGTAACAAAAACATTTCTGAAGGTATCAAATTAAAACATATTGAAAACACAATGAAGCACCAAATCAATATAAGAGAAGTAATGGCTAAGCCAGAGGAATAATGACTTGATGTCTTAAAAAAAATATTTAAAGCATTTAAGAAATAAATTATTGCACACAAAAAAGCAAATTAGAAAAGGCAGTGAATGAAAGATAAAATATCAGTAAACAAAACGTATAATTACAATAGTTAAAATTAATGGTTTCATTATTTGAATAATTAAATAATTGATCATAAAACAAACGTTAGAAATAATTGCAAATCATGCAAAACTCAATATATTGCTAATTTTATTAATATCACCACTATCATTATCTGAAATAAATGCAAATGACCTTAGTTTAAAAAAGGAAAGAAAAAAGAAATACTAAAACAATAACTGTGAACTGAAGAGGCTTCTTGGATGAAAAATGAGACGTCTTCAAGGAAAAAACCAAAGAAAGTCCAGTTGCCTTTGAAAAAGCAGTTTTGGGACAACCATGACTTAAATGACTGAAAATCTCCATAGACTAAAACAACGAGTAAAAACAATATTGAGTTCTAGATTATTTGTACGCAAATGGTGGTAACAGGTAGTCTTGGACTTACAACCATTCAATTAACAGCCACTTGAAGTTGCTATGGAACTGAGAAAAGTGAACTATGATCAGTCTTTGCACTTACAATCTTTGCGACATCCCCTTGGTCACATGATCAAACTTAGGGTGTTTTGCAATGGCATATATTTACAATGGTTACAGCATCGGGGGGGGGGGGATGTCAATGATCACCACTTGCAATCTTCCCAAGGGGCGTCTGGTAAGTAAAGTCAATGGGGGAAGCAGCATGATTCGCTTAATAGTCATTTTCTTAAAGATCAAAGCAAATAAAATCATAAAATCAGGCATGACTCACTTAATAACCGTATTACTTAACAAATGAAGTTCTGATCCCAATTCTGGCCATAGGTTGAGCATTATCCATATATCAAATTATTTATCAAATTACATTTCTGGTTGTTTTCCTTCCATTGCCAATTATAAAACAGCTATTTCTAGAAGCTTCTAAAACAGAATCTTTGATTCAGTGGTAAATTTAAAATTCAGTGACCGCCATTCCATTACAAATAAAGTTTATTTAGACACAGTTACAGAAAGGTTGGAGATTGCTGATATACATCAGCTACATGGGTGGTTCCATGTTTATGATCTTTTTATTAAAGAATGACATAGAGAAAATCAGCTACAGTTCTACTGTGATAGCCAATGTAGTATAATGATTAAAGTGCTTGCTTGGATAAAGAGTTCTTTGGCACCAGAATGGTGATATGAATGCATATATCATATAAAATGTACTTCCCTTGACTGTGTAGTGTGGTACTCAAAATACCGAATTGGGATTAGGGAAATTTAGGTTCAAGTCCCCATTCAACCATGGAACTTATTAAATTATTCTGAGCCAACAGCCATCTTTCAGCCCAACCTGCTTACAAAATTGTTTTGTGAATGAATAGGGGGAGGCCCCCATATTGGTCACTTTGAGCTTCTAGAAGGTGAGTTCAATAATTACAGTAACATAACAATGCAGCGTTATGCTGAACAATGCTGAAGTTCAAATAAACAATATTATAATGCTTTGAAACCAACAAATTAGTGTTATGTTACTAAATCTTGAATTTAATCATCCCTATTTCTCTCTAATATCCCTATTTCTCTCTCTCTAATATGCATGTAAGGAGGAGATTGGAAACATGTTTTATAATTTAATTTAATTGCAATTTAAACTAACATCACTTTGATCTATGATTCAGGCATCAAACCAATTGCAAGTAGTCCTCAAGATATGACTGTAGTTGAATTCAGAATTACATTTGTAACTCATGGTAGCAGATCATGTGACCACACCCAATTTTACAACTTTTTTGTGTATTTAGTGTATATTTAATACAACCTTTCCCTATATTTATTTTGTGGTTCTGCTCTGGAAGTTCTTGAACATAAAGTCAAGGCATTTGTCTCCAGAATTCAGGAACATGGTTTCAAATAAATTATCATCTGAACTATGATGCTGGCAACTGTAATGCTGGCTCTACAGTCTGATGTTTTTAATAAGATCAGATGAAACAGTAGGTATACTAAACTTCATCTTAGAATCTCTAATGAGTAATGTATAGTAGTGTTAGGGAAGATTTATTGGGTCAGAGAAATGTATCCTGGAAAGAGTTAATCAATTCTAGAAATGCTGACTTTGCTTTTAGGGCTATAATAGAAGTGCTTTTTCCATTAATAGATGACTGAATGTTTATACAGTATCTGAAAATAACACATTTGAACAACACTGGAGGGTACTGATGCTCTTTCCTTGGGACAGTGTAACATTGCTATGGATATATCCAGTTAAATTATTTTAATATACTGTACCTAAATCTCTCTTTGAAAATGTTCTATAAACTTTAGCTGGTGCAAAATTCTGTGATGAAATAATTAAGATACATTTAACTGATCAATACTTTAATATTGGCACTGAAATAAAATCTAGGTTTTAAGTATATTTTTGAGATCAGCTCTTATTGATTTTGATTTTCAATTAGGCTACTATATTAGGATAATAAAACTCCAATGACTCCCAGATGATATCAGTTCTTTGCATCTTTTACAATCCAGATCCAATTGCCCTATCTATAAGAAGCTAGAAAACAATATTCCAGAATGTATAGGAGTCTTCTTACCCTCAGTGAGTTGACCTTTTCACTAGGATATTCATACAGGTAGTCCTTGATTTACAACTGCTCATTTTAGGACCGTTCAAAATTACAATAGCCACGGATTGAGTGCTTTATGACCGGTAAAACATCCCCATCCATCATAAATGGTTGTGCTGTGCCCCATGGTCATGTGTCTGCATGTTAGGTAGGTCAGCTTTACGACCTGTTGCAGCATGCCATGGTCATATGATTGTGATTCATGCTGTTTTATGCCAGTTTCCTGCAAAAAAAATACTCATTCAAATGAATGGATTTGCTTAATGACCACAGCATTCATTTAATAGCCATGGAATTCAATTAACAACTGCAGCATTCATTTAATGACCATTATGAAAAAGACTAGCAAATTTTCCAGTCACATGGGTACCTTAAGATCATAATGACTTATGACCAGATTTCAAGTCCCAATTACGGTTGTAAGTTTAGGACTACCTGCAGAATGTGCTACCTTGAGACATTATGCAGTTAACTAATGAAAATGGGACTTTTTTATATATGATATGCTAACTTTGAAACTCACTCTAGATAAACTTGGGTGGCACCTCATGCTCCTTTTGTTTGACGCAAAGTATCAGCATCATTCATAAAGTTGCAGAATAGATTTGTTCAAACCTGTACATAAGAATCTGGTCAACTAATGGCCAGCACCAAATTGGTAGATAAAAGTCAATGGAATTCAAAAAGGGATGAACTTGGACATCTTGTGGCAATGCAAAGACTCTAAATGGATGATACATTTACCTCTGTCCCTCAGTTTTTCTACATCTATCCTGCAATTGCTTTTTCAAACTAACCAGCTTCTACTAATAATAATGTTAAAATAATAATGAAAATGTCAATATACAATTATTGTTAAATATATAATATATATATTTATCAGAAAGGCAAAGAAAAATGAAATAAGTAAAATAAAGAATGAGTCTAATATATACTCTGTGTGTGATGTATGTTTGTATGATAAAGAATAGGGTTTATATATCCATACATATATATTCTTATCTTGTACTTTATCATAATGAGACTTACTAAGTAAAATGAGACTGTAAAATCAGAACTGCTATATATTTTTTACTTTGTGATACGTTAATAAATTTAAACAAGAAAAAACCCTAAACATTTGAAATGGAATTAAAGACTTTTTTTGGTCAACTCATATATTTGGAATATCATTTAAAATTCTTTAATTTTAATAAGGGCCAATATAAAATTTCATGTGATAGTAGATGCATTTAGAATATATGGCAGAAGTGTCAAACTTGCAACGTCACAAGAAGTATCGCGACATATCGCGACTTGTTTTGCCATTGCCGACAATGGGATGGGTGCGGTTTCACTATGATGCATCCAGCCCGCGGGCTGGCAGTTTGACACCCGATATATGGGAATACTTACTTAATTTTTAAATTATAAAATATTAAGATGGTATATACTATCATGCATGATAATAAGGCAAATAAATGTTTTATAGCTGAATTGATTCTACTAACCTGAAAGGTAAATGTGCTATAATGAATAAATAATTTTCTTTTCTATCATTAAATTCTGATGAAAAATATCCAATTTTTTTTTAAAACTAACCTGTTCTTCTTCTGTAAAAGGTACTAGTGCCAAAGGCGGTAGGGGCTCCTCTTGTAGAATGGGCAGAAATTCCTTATCCAGAAGGTCTGAGGGTATCTAAAGGGGAAATTAAAAAAAAGGAGAGGTTGCAGGCCTGTAACAATAGATCTTTGAGTGGTCATCTATACCATCATACATATGGATGTTGTACATGAACTTGTTGACACTATTTTAGAAAAAATGGAAAGTTTGAGGGAAACATGCCCCTGGCTCCCAGTGTGCATATCCCAACAATTTAATTCCTGAGTTCTTAACAACTACCATAGCAGGTGAATAGGGAATAGAATGACCAACAGAAGAAAACATAAGCAATAGAGGAAAAAGTGGATTGTGTAACTTTACAGATGACCACTCAGAGAGCTAAAATTTCAGGTAACCAACCTATCCTCCTACTTTGTGGTCTCTGCTAACAAAATATTACTTGCTGGGCAAAAAAGGCAGATATGTAAGAAATAAATAAGGCCAGGGCCAATCTATGAAATATGTCTGTTTTTTATTTGTATACCAAGTCAACTTTTTTAAATAGGGGGAGAGTTATGACAGAATGATTATAAAAGCTCTCTGGCAGAAAAGCTATGGAAAACATGATAGCTGTGTCTTAGTGTTTCCGCTCAAAACCTAGAACACTCAAAACTTGCCACAGTCACTTTGCAAACTATTTAGAAAATATGACAAAATCTCATAAACATCTGCAATAGATAGCGTCTATGGCTTACAAAAAGATTTTATCTAATTTAGATAGAAAAGCCTATACATCTTCAGACAGTAAAGAGAAATTTCTAGTCGAATAGAGAGTACTGAAAAGAAGGATGGAAGAGAAACATCCAGATTCAACTGAAAAAGCAAAATCACATGGACAATTAGGGTGAAGTACAACAAATGAACACATGCAGCACAGAGCATGTTAGCAGAGAAATGGCAACCAAGAATGCCAATGAGCCAGATCAGCAATCTGAGATTAAATGTTGTTAGGGTTAAAGGGTCTGGACATAAATAGATTCAAGACTGTAGAAAGGTTCTCTTAATTGCTAGGATTGGTTACCTAAGCAAATATAGTTTGAGCAAACCTTTTAGAAACATTTAAGCTATTTGCTGAACATGGAAAGCCCATCAATAAAATGGGAATCTAAGATGGCTCTTAAAGTCTGGAGAAAGGAACAGAGAAGCCGTCTGTTTCCAAGGAGAATAGAAACCGGAGGATGTTTTGCAGCAAGCAAACAGCTGATCCAATGCTGTGCTTTATCTGCAAAAGCCATAAAGTAAGTACATTTCATTTAATAGAAAAAATGAATGTTATCTGCTACACACCAAGCAAAACAGATTCTGTAGAACTTCCCGAATGTTGTAATAGGCCTGGCTAACATGGGAACCTGATACAGATGTCTTGATACATAATAATAATAGAAAGCCATAGCTGGCAACAGAATGAAAAATTCACTTATTCATACAGGAGACAATTCCTCTAGTTACAAAATTTAACACTCTTAAATATGAAGACATCTATCTTTGAAGTTGATTGCCACTGGTGGATATTACTTAGCTTAGAAAGGTGCTGATATTCCCCTTAATAATTAGATGAAACTACTTGGGATATTAGTGATAAAGGCACTAATCTCACAGATTGTGATCCTAAAATACATACGGAGCAGACCTTCACAAAATTAGATTACACAAGAACAACTTGGGCACTACAACAGAACTGTACTAATCAGAAGGTATAGGGAACCTTTTTGACTGCTAAGACTTTCAATATATTTAAGAGCATTTGTCACTTTTATGAAAAAATGCTATTTGTATATTAGAAATCACCTCTAGTGAGAACTCTGTTTCTTCAAACACTATCTATAACTATCAGAAGTAAAAGTCAGAGAAGATAATAAGGAACACTTCCACTGTGGTTATACTCAATTGCTGCTTTTTTAAAAAAAAGAATGGGAATTTAATTCCCAGAAGAAAACATTAAAGAAAACACTGAATTCAAGGTCAAATGAATTGGCTGATCACTGAAGTATATATTAAGAATCCTGAAGTTCTAAGTTCATTATTCTAAATCAATCAATCTCTCTCTCTCTCTCTCTCTCTCTCTCTCTCTCTCTCTCTCTGTGTGTGTGTGTGTGTGTGTGTGTACATAATTGGAAATAGGACTACTGTAGCTGAGGTCATTAAATGAATCATTCCCAATTTTACAATCTTTCTGCCTTGATCTTTAAGCAAATCACATGGCTTTTAAGTGAATCTGGCTTCCCTCATTGACTTTGCTTTTTGGAAGCCCTCTGAGGAGGTTACAAATGACAACCACATGACCTGGGATGCAGCAACTGACATAAATACATTACCAAGCACATGAACTTTGACAGTAGGGACAATGCAACGGTTGTTGCGTGTGGACTGTTCATCAGTCATTTTTTCAGTTACCTTATAACTTTAAACGGTATTTAAACAAATTGCCACAAGTCAAGGATTACCTGTACTTTAAATTAGGATGGTCCCAACTCTCATACTTTATCTATGCTCTTAAAGAGCTGTGCCCAGGTCTGGGGCCACAAATATATGCAGGGACCTGTTTCTTGGTTAATTTGGGGATTATGATGGTGATTTATTCTCAGTTGCCATATATTTTATTTTTTGTATTATTGTAATTCTTTTTATTTTTTAAATTTAATTTACTTTTTTAATTACTAAAGAGTCACTTAATCAACTTTAATAATTATATAAGAGTCACTTAGATACAAATTGAATGAAAACAGTTCTCTTCAACAACAAGCAAATAATAAAAAAAAATGATATCAACACCTGCAAAACTCAATAGTCAAAATCAGGTCCACTGACAAAATGTTCATCAGTACCAACTCTGATTTACAATTCCTGGAAATTACATTATTTGCCATAATGGAAGACCTGGACAATAATCAAATAGGTAATCTGCAGTGCAAACTATGGCTGCTTGGTAAAAATACAATCTATTGCTAGAATTTGAAGAGTTGGATCAGCTGGTAGAAACATCAGTATCTTTAAGACTGTGTATCAGGCAGTATTGAAGAAGTGATATTTGGAAGCATTCATGAATAATGGAAGGAAAATATCAACATCAGCAGCAGGACAACCTCAAAAAAAGAATTCTCTTTCAGTGCTGCACACTAATATTATTTAATATAAAATATTAATATAAAATTATTTAAAATCTGCAGTAAGTACCATTACCTCAGCCAGGTTGAATGATAAGTGAATGTCACAATAGTAGTAAGCTTTATGACCCACTAAGTTATCCTTTTGAGAATTCAACACATAATGGCTGTGGCATATCAGCAATATAAAAAAATATAGTATAGGGCAACAATGGCAAGTGAGAAGATTGATAATTTTTGATAATATAGAATTCCACTTCAGAACCCCCAAAACTTGTAATATACTGAATCCCCTCAAATTATAGATAGTCCTTGCTTAACTATGATAATTAAGGCCAGAAAGCAAAGAGATTGTAAAGTGCAACATCAGATGACGCCTCCTGAACTATAACAAAGCATTTGACAAAATCTAGTATGAGACTCTAGTAGAGAAAATATCAAAATGTGGGTAGAGTATGTTACCATTAGATGGACAGAGCAAGTTGAACAAGTATACTCAAGGAGTATTCACTAAAAGCTCCAGGTCAAGCTGAAAGAAAAATTGAGTGGCGTACCACAGGCTATGTTCTAGGCCTATCCCGTTCAACACATTTAGAAAATGACTCAAATTAGAAGTTATAAAATATGATTATTAATGTTACATGATACAAAATTAGGAGAAATAGCGAACATTAGGAAGACAGTGCCAAGATTCAAAGAATGTAAACAAGGACGAACAATGGGCAGAACAAACAGAGAGTCCTATATTAGCTAGGAAAAATCAAAGGCATGAACGCAGGCTGAAAGTATCTGTATTGGACAGCAGTACACATGAAAAGAAAGTCAATTTGGTGTAGTAGTTAAGGCGCCAGACTAGAAACCAAGAGATCAGGTGTTATAATCTCATTTTAGGCATGAAGTTGCTGGGTGACTTTCGACTAGTCACTCTCAGTCCTTGGAAGGCAATAGTAAACCACTTCCAAAGAAAACTGTAGAGACTAGTCCAGCAGTAGCCAGGAATCAACACTGACTTGAAGGCACCAAAACAAAATACATGACAAGTATCTGTGTATCTTGGTGGATCACGAACTGAACATGAACTAATAATTTACTGACTGTTAAATTTATATGCCTCCCATTTCACTATCAAGCAACTTGGGCAGCTGTGATGCATTTGCAAATACAAATGAAGTGTTAGGCTGCATCAGCAGAGGTATAGTGCCAAGAACAAGGGAAGTCATTATTCCTCTCTATTTACCAATGGTTAGGCAACAGCTAGATTATAATGCATTCAGTTCTGGCATCACATTTTGGAAAGAACTTCAACAAACTAAAATGTGTCCAGAGGTAAGCAACCAAGATAAGGGACTTATGTAGAAAAACATATATGGAATGGTTGGAGATTACAAATATGTTTAGTCTACAGAAAAGAAAATCGTAAGAAGGTATGATTGCCTTTTTCAAGCATCTAAAAGACTATCATATAAATGGCAGAAATATTTACAGCTGCTCTGTGAACAGGATAAGAATATGAAAGTATGAAGAAGTAGATTTTTCCTAAATATCACACACAAAAAATTCCTAATAGTAAGAGATGTTCAACAATAGAACAGACTTCTTCAAGAGTTGGTGAACTGTCTTCCTCTACAGATTTTTAGACAGAGATTAGATGGCCACGTATTGGAGATGCGGTAATAGGATTCCTGTACCGGGTAGAAGCTTGGACTAAATTATCTTTAAGTCCTTCCTATCTTTCCATTCTACGTCTCAATAACCTGTGATTTCAGCAGACCAAGTATTCCAGGCCACCAGTTGGTCCACCATTGCCATCAATAATGGAAGAATTGGTGTTGCTGATACAAATGTTTCTATTACTGGCTGTGTATGCCCAGATAATCATTCTAAGAGCTGCAGTTACATCTAAGTAAACAAATTTATGTGAGTTCTCTTAGTGAATTCTCTAGACAGTGGGGAAATATCACCCTATACAAGATGGAATACTAGTGAAAACTAGTGATGGCAGCAGTGATGCCAGCCCACAAAATATTCATAACTTTAAGTGGCTTAGTCCACATATTAAAGTAATCAATGTAATGAATAATTTACGGAATAAAAGAGAAAATATGAGTGACTCAATCCAAAGAATATTTTCATCCAACAAATAGGACATTCTGATATAACTCAATTAATTTATTAATCTCTTCATGTGTTCATGAATAACTCAATTACTAACTCTTCATATGTTCATGAATAACTCAATTAATTTATTAATCTCTTCATGTGTTAAAACAGCCCTACACACCTTTTATCTTTAAAAAACAAACAACATAATGGCAGATTAGAGGAGCATAATCTTTTCAGTAGTTTATTATTTAAAATCTCCTTTAACAAGTTTTGAGTCTAAGGTGTTTGCTCCTATATTGTAGTAACATAACTAATAATTATGCACAGATTTCAATATAATCAGATAGGACTATTTTTTTCCCCACTTACCTTATTATCTTTCAGAAAAAGTGCTAACATTTCTTCTCTCCCATAACGATAATCAGCTAATTTATACTTTGGCAAAGCTGGAGAGAGAGGAGGAGATGTCACACTCCCACCACTTGATAGAGCTCGAAGCCTAGAGGGGAAAGAAATCAATGAAACTAGGTATTTTGTACATGTAATTCTCCCATTAGGACAATGGATAGGAAGATTCATGTCACACCGGAATACTTTTTCTTTTTGCCCTATTTGAAATCACAAGATGCAGGCTTAAACTTTGAGTCCTTTGTAGGCAATTTCTGTAGAAGCCTGCACATTTTGAAGCATACTTCTTGCAAGGTATGTTTTGTTCCACCTTCTTTATTGCAAATATATAAAGTAAAAATTACATTATTCCAATATGCCTTGCCCTGAATTGATTGTGAGCATACATCTTGGTTGCATATTCTATTTTTCACATTAGAATTATTGCTGTTTTTCTTTACCTAGAATCTTAGGTAATCTGGGCAGTTTATTAACTCTGCTAAATAAATAAATGCCAGTGATGGTGGCACACATCTAAATATCCTTTCTCTATTATGGCAAATTTGATCACCAGAATGTTTTCAGTATATTATAATAATATTTTAGCACATTGTAAGAATAAAAATTTAGAGGAAGACTAGGGGCTATAATAGGTTCAGAGTCCATCACTCTTAAACATTGTTGTCAGACAGTAGTTTGCAGGTGCAAAGAAAAATTGCAATTCTAAGTCTTTTCAGTAGATAAATAGCAGTGCTTATAATAATTTTAATAAAGCAGGAGAATAATTAGCTCAAGAGCAAACATTCTGATGCTGCAGTGATCACAAGTTGAAATGGTTTAGCTAGACTGATGTCCAATTCCATGGTATGAGTGAAGGACATGACTCTTGCTAAATAATTTTTTTAATTGTAGAAGGCTCCAAAGAAGCCTCTATATCAATGGTTCTCAATCTACCTAATGCCGTGACCCCTGTGGGCAGGGGCAGGAGGAGGGGCAAGGTTTGCTCGCTCTCATTCTCTCTCTCTCTCACTCACTTTTTCTTTTCTCTCTCTGGCGCGCGCACTCCGCCTCCTCTCCTGCGGCTGCAGTGCATGCCTGGCAGGCCGAGGGCGCACGCAGGCCATCGCCCAGCAACCGCCTTGGCCCAGGAGCACCGCGCATATGTGGTGCCGCCCCCTGCGCCGGCTGAGGCGGAGCTGGCGACGCACCGCCGCCTGTGATTTTATCATGCAGAGGGCCGCACCTTCCCCTCGGGCTGCCCACCCACCCGCCCTCAGGTGCGCCGCTCCATGCCGTGGCACTTCTGCGTCGTGATCGGCCACCTCAGCAGCAGCAGCAGCCGCAGCACCCACTTCCTCGCCACCCTCTTGCCTCATGCCTCGCTCCACGCGGCCCACCCCTCCTCCGCCGCCAGCACCAGCCTTGCTGCCCAACCCCGCCAGACCCTGGCCTTGGCACCAGCATGGACGGACCCACCGCCTGGAGACGGATAAAGGAGCAGTATCTCAGTTCCTAAGACCATCGGAAATATGTGTTTTCCAGTGGTCTTAGGCGACCCGTGAAAGGGTCGTTCGACCACCAAAGGGGTTGCAGCCCACAGGTTGAGAACTGCTGCTCTATATAAACATATGAGCCATATGAGCCAAACACACCCTGACAAAAAATCATAACACTGGAAGATTACTGAAAAGCTTCTTGCCCAATTGTCCTCATATCCGTTATCAGCCATGTCTGTTATACTGTATTCAACTTGAAATGTTCTGTGATCAAATATAGAAAGGGGAAAGATGAAATAAGTTGAACAACCTGCCTCCAGAAGTTGTGAATGTCCAACACTGTAAGTTTTTAAGAAGAGACTGGACAACCATTTGTCTGAAATATATAGGGTTTCCTGCCTGAGCAGGGAGTTAGACTAGAAGACCTCCAAGGTCCCTTCCAACTCTTTATTCTAGTCTATTCTATTCTACTCTACTCTATTCTAAATGTGAAGTTGCTACAACTCAAGACAGACAAAATCAATGAAACTGGCTGTTCTTAGTTCTAAACCTAAGAAGCTTTGACAACATTCTGTAGTACAGAAGCCACTTGAAAAACAACAGTTACAATAAGTCCTCCAAAAAATCTCTACCTTTTTTTTTACCAAGTAATAAGATTAAATTGAATTAGAATTTCACAGTGTTGTACCAATATGCTCATTTCCCAGTCATTTCTATGTTATCAAATTCTAACTCTTGAATATAATTTTTTTGAGCCTGGCACTAGATACAGGAAGATTACTATATTCTGGATTGGTTGGGCCTCCAAAGGCCTCATTGTTACAAAAGAGCCTAACAAAAACCTCGCTATTTTTTCTATTCCATAGTGAGTCTTATATTAGAGGCTAGTACTACGAACTTCCAACAGCATCTTGTAAAAGTTAGAGACTAGCTGAGCACGCAGAAAGCTTTCCAGAGCTAACCTCTTCCCTTCCTTTATCTAGCTATTTACCTTCACAGCCTGATCTTCAATGGACTGCAGTGTTAAAGCAGCAAGTTTCCATCCTGCCTGCTGCTTTCCTAGCATTTGAAGAAAGCAGAATATAGACCTAAAATGTATATCAAATCAACTATCCTGAATATGCATATTTAGTCCATTATAACTAAGACCTGCATAGAACTACTTTTAGTCTGAATTATTAACTTGAATAATGTAGTAAGATCAGGTAAGTTGTCTTAACTGAACAGTTTTTCAGTAATAATGTTTGAAGCTTTGAAATAATCATGCACAATCATTATTTCAAAGGTTGAGATAATTTTCCAAACAGGTCTCTTCTCTTAAGTTTTTGCGTCCTTCTTATCATACTTGGATTCCCTCTTCTATTTCAATGCTGTGCTAAACATAATCACTTAAATTGGATTAGCAAATAATACAATGAGCATGAGTACAATACAAAAATATTTTTATGCTTGTATTTTGACGGGTCAAAAACTACATAATTTTTTGACCTAAGCATATCATAAATGCCCCCATTTAAAAAAACTGATTAAACAATGAATTACATGATAAATTTAATAAATATATGTCTGATTTAAATTAAACTATGGATTTAAAAAGTTTTAACTGGAAGTTCGTCATATAGACTGTTAACCAAAAAAGGCTAAAGCCTACCCAATCTCAATTTTTTAATTATAGTGAAAGTACACTCATTGAAATCAATAGGATATTTAGTTATCGTTCCATGTTGCCAATGAGTCTACCTTAATTAAACTAAATAATCTGTTACTATATGGGTTCTTAATAGTAAAATCAGATATTAATAATAACAGAATAATAGAGTTGGAATGGACATTGGAGGTCTTCTAGTCCAACCCCCTGCTCAAGTAGGAAACTCCATACCATTTCAGACAAATGGCTGTCCAATCTCTTGTTAAAAACCACCACTGATGGAGTACCAACAACTTCTGAAAGCAAGTCATTCCACAGATTAATTGTTCTATCTGTCAAGGAATTTCTCCTTAGTTCTAGGTTGCTTCTTTCCTAGGTTAGTTTCCATCCATTGCTTCTTGTTCTACCTTCAGGTGCTTTGGAGAATAGGTTGATGCCCTCTTTTTTCACAGCCCCTTAGATATTGGAACAGTGCTATCATGTCATCACTTTCATTCATTCATTCATTCATTCATTCATTCATTCATTCATTCATTCATGAAACTGTGAGTCCCCATGTACAAAGGATGTACAAAAAAGAAGTTGAGACTTTGGAAAAAGTGCAAAAAGAGAGCAACTAAGATGATTAAAGGCCTGAAGACTAAAACATGAAGAATGATTACAGGATTTGGATATGGCCAGGCTAGAGAAAAGGACTAGGGGAGGGGACATGCTAGCAGTATTCCAGTATTTGAGAGGCTGCCACAAGGAGAGGGTCAATTTATTTTCCAAAGCACCTGAAGGCAAGACGAGAAACAATGGATTGCTCATTCCATGGCAACGATGGAATAACAAATAAAATTCATGACATTTGCTATATAGGAAATCTATCAAAAGTCAGGAGGAGATAATTTTTTTAAATACTCCAAATGCTCAGTTGGTTGCTGTCATGATAGAAGTATCATTTTCTTATATACAATTTTCCTTATTCACAACCACTTTCATATCATCTTTCCACCAAGCATCTTTTTATACTTCCTACTAATGTACTAAATATTTGAAACTTCATTGTAGATATTAAATAAAAGTCACAAATTATTGTTAAATAATACAGTAACTGTTAAAACAAAATCTATTAAAAGTATCATATGACATTTTCTCTGTTATTGCAAGAAATGAAGAAAGATTTAGTAAACAAACTGGAATTTTATCCTATTAATTTGCTGCCATCTTGTGGTCAATGTTTTCATGGCAATGAAATAAAAATAAAAGCAATGTTCAATTACCTGAATATTCAACTAATCAGTCTAGCTATTTTATTCCAACCTTGAAGCTTTGAGATACTTTTATAGGGTAGCTTTATTCCAAACACAGTGTAACATTTACTTATTTATTTACTTACTTACTAAGTTTCTAAAGTTGCTCAACTTGGGATGATGTATAACAATAACAAAAACAAACACACTCCCCTAAAACCCTCATAAGTTAAAACACGTACAAGATATAAATATAAAATACAAAAATAAAAACGATGACCTCACACTATAACAGAACAACCAAAAGGAAACTACACTCAACTGGTTCCTATTGCCTGGGAGAACAGTCTAAATAAAGCATGGTATAATCAGTGTGGCTTTGTTACCAGATTAAACCAACTAATTCAGGAAATATTATAAGCATTTGATAGTTCAATGTCTCCTTAGGAAATTTCAAGGCACCTGGAATGATCTCAATGCAGCCACACCAGAAGCAGATAGGAGGGATGCTAGTGAACACAAACTAATTTTCCTGGGGAATATCAGTGCTCCCCCCATAAAATGTAACAAGGAATGATTTTCTTAATTCCAAGACCAGTACAATTTAACAATGGCAAAAAGCCAAAAAGCACTCCCAGCAGCTTTGTCTTTATACTCTTTTTTCTAAAACAAACCAGTTTCCTTATGAATAAGAGACTGAAATATGATTTACCATGCCTTTGTACCATAATTA